TTGACTATCGTAAATTAAACGATGTCACAGTTAAGGATTCAACACCAATTTCTCATCAAGGAGACATATTGAATATGGTTCTTGATGCTCAATGGTTTTCTACCGTTGATTGAAAAAGTGGATATTGGCAAGTTGAAGTTGCTCCGGAGGATAGATCTAAAACTGCTTTTTGTATTTGGAATGAGGTTTGGCAATTTAAGGTTCTTCTTTTTGGTTTGTGTAATGCTCCTGCTACCTTCGTTAAACTTATGAATGTAGTTTTAAAAGGTCTTCTCGGTAAAATTTGTTTAGTTTATTTGGACGATATTATTATTTTCAGTAAAAGTATTGATAAACATTTTATTCATCTTCAAAATGTTTTTGAAAGACTTTTACAAGCTTCTCTTGAGATAAATCTTGAGAAATGAATATTTTTCCAAAAAGAAGTTATTTTCCTTGGACATGTAGTTTCGGGTGAAGGACTGAAAAGTTCTCCAGATAAAATTTCTGCTATTATTAATTGGCCTGTTCCTCAGAATAAATCTGAACTTAGAAGTTTTCTAGGTCTTGAACACTTATTACAGGAAATTCGTCAAAGATTTTGCTACTATAGCGAAACCTTTATATTTTATTAGTCGGGAAAAGAAAGATTTTATTTGGGATGATTCAGCTTTTCAAACGTTTGAAACAAATTTTGACTTCTACTCCAATTTTGGGTTATCCTGATCCAAATTATCCTTTTATTCTTGATACTGATGCTTCAAATGTTGGCATTAGTGCTGTTCTATCTCAAAAGATTCCAGTTAATAGTAATGGTGAAGAAAAAGTTATTGCTTACTTCAGTAAGACTTCAAATGATCGAGAACGTAATTATTGTGTTATTAGGAAAGAATTATTAGCTGTTGTTATTTCTGTTGAACATTTTCGTCATTTTCTTCTTGGCAAGAGGTTCACTATTAGAACTGATCATGCCTCTCTCACTTGGTTACTTTCTTTCAAAAATCCTCAAGATCAAATAGCTCGTTGGTTTGAAATCTTATTTCAATATCATTTCGAAGTTCAACATAGACCTGGTCATAAACATGGCAATGCTGATGGTCTTTCTCGGCGTCCATGTGATTATAAAAAATGTCTGAAAATAGATTCTGATGAAAAATGTGATAATAGGCATATTTTCCGTGTCATTTGTGAAATCAATAATGATTCTGATTGGATTAAATTTCAAAATAATGATAACATTCTAAGTTTAATTATTAAATTCAAAAAGGAAAATAAAGTTCCCGAGTTTAATGATGTTTCACATTTGGATTCTACTTTTAAAATTTATTTACTTTATTGGAATTCTTTAGAACTAAAAAATGGTGTTTTAGTTAAACGTTGGGAAGCTCCAAATCTTTCTCATGTTATTCTTCAGGTTGTCATTCCTCGAGCTAAAGTGAATGAAATACTTCATGAGGCTCATAATTCTCCTTCTGGTGGTCATTTTGGTATTAATAAAACGATTCCAAAAATTCGTCAACGATTTTTCTAGGCAACTCTTGAGCAAGATGTTGAGATTTGGTGTAAAAAATGCAAAGTTTGTTTCGCTAAAAAGGGTCCTCATAAAAAGTCTTGCGGTCAACTTCAAATTTATAATGTTGGTTCTCCTTTTGAAAGGGTTGCCATTGATATTCTTGGTCCTCTTACTAAAACCTCTTCTGGAAATAAATTTTTACTTGTTGTTACAGATTATTTTACTAGATGGCCTGAGGCGATTCCTCTGCCTAATCACCAGGCTTCTACTATTGCTGAGGCTTTAGTAACTTAAATATTTTGTAGATATGGTGTTCCTATCAAAATTCATTCTGATCAGGGTCAAGAATTTGAATCTGAAATCTTCAAGGAGGTCATGAGTCTTTTTGGTATTAAGAAGACAAGAACCACACCTCTTCATCCTCAATCAAATGGTTTAGTTGAAAGGTTGCATAGGACTATTCTTCAATATTTGTCCAAATTTATTAGTAAAAATCAAAAAGATTGGGATAAGTGGATTTCTTTATTCTTATTGGCTTATCGTTCTTCAAGACATGAAACTACTGAGTATTCTCCAGCTTTGTTGATGTTAGGTCGTGAATTAAGGTTGCCTATTGATCTTCTTGGAGGAATTAATCCTTCAAAAAATTCTTTTGAGAATAATTCTATAACTGATTTTGTTTTAATCTTCGTGAACAATTAAAGATTGTTCATGATAATGTACGGGATCAGTTGCAAATTAAATCTGAAAAACTTGAGTATATGTATGATTTGAAATCTAATATTCTTTCTTTTGATGTCGGTCAAAAGGTTTGGTTATTTTTCCCTAAAAGAGTTAAAGGAAAGTGTCCAAAACTTTAATCTGAGTGGGAAGGTCCTTATATTATCAAAAACAAACTTAATGATGTTGTATTTCGAATTCATAAAATTCCGAATGGTCGTTTGAAAGTTGTTCATGTGAATAGACTCGCTCCTTATGTAGATGATTAGTTATTTTGACTCTTTCTGGATTCCTAATTTCTGTTGAATTCAGGGTTTTTGTAACTTCTAGTCTGAGAATGTTGGCTCTCATTGATCATTTGATTGTTGATTTAAATTCACAATGTCTGTCCTGGAGCGTTCTCGTGGAGTTACTGTAGGATATACACGGTTGGAGTCATTGTACTGGAATCCTTTTCTTCATTTATTGGCCAAAGTGAAGCAAAGTGAGGTACTAGATGTCCATGGTATCCTAATATTTTTGTTCGGATAGTATGCGTAACTGGGAACCCAATTTTTAATAATTTTGTTTGCACAGTGAGCAGAAGCTATTGAACTTATTCTTGAAAATTCCTTGCGCAAGGTGGAATTGAATTGATTGTTTCAATGATATTGAATCATTTATTTGAGAGTCGGATTTTTATTTAAAAAAAGGATGCGAAGTCGGAATTTATTTGGAGAATTGACTCCATGAAATGTGACCATTCAACCTAATTGTTGATCGAACATTAAATTTATGATTAAAAATGAAATTTTTAAAGAACTTTGATTCTGTGAGGAACTTTTATTTTGTTTAATTCCATGATCTTCCAGTTCTTGACATTTCCTCGTCTTTGGGTTCTTTTGGTTCTTCACTGAGAAGAACCAAAAGAACCCAAAGAGTAGGATTTTGATTTTTTCCTCCTAATTATTTGTTTCATCTATTTTTTAATCAGACAGAGTTGGGAAGCGGCAATATTGGAATCTAGGCTGAATGATTATTATTTTGATTTTCATAATTTCGAATTAGAAATTAAATTTTAGATTCTTCATGTTTTTTATTTTAGCCTAATCCAATATTTTTACCCAACTAATAGAAATTGCCAGGTGGCAATTTTTAGAAGATCGGGAGAAGTGTAAAATATTTGTATGTCGCCATCTAATGACTATTAGATTAACGACAGTTTGTTAGTTAACGACGATTGCTTGACGATTAGATTGTTTAAAGCAACGAGGTGAGAGTTTGTTTATCTCCAGTTTTTGTCTGAGACTTGAGTTGACCGCACGGATTTTTCCTTTCAATGAATTGCTGTCAATCATTAATAAACATTTTTATTTATTTACTAATTTTCCGAAGTTGTTATTGAGTCTTATTTTACTATATTATAAGATCAACTTGGATTTTTTTAGACTAATCCATATATTTAGAAACATAAAATGTCAGCTATAATAATAGAAGTTTTGATCTTTTTAGATATATTTATACTTTAAGGTTATTGGTCTAGCGGTTAATTATTTCTGTCATTGTTTCGTTTCTGCAATTCATGCTCATAAAGAGGATGTTGAGTCTACAAGAGCTGCTATTTTGCAAATAATACCACATGTTTTTGGTAAACATGATAATTGTGCCTTACGGTGTACTTACAAAAAAGATTCAAAGAACTTTAAAATACGACGTCGTATTCTTTTTTGGAATCGTCGAAAAGAAAATTCATTTTTGGAAGCTCGCAAGGGCATTACTTATCATTTAAATAGTAAAATGCATGTTGCTATAAATGTTGAAGAAGAATCAAATCTACCTCTAAGCTCACGTGCTAATGACGACTCAAACAGTTATTTTTGAAATTAAAACAACAGGATTAGAAAAAAACCGATCAATTTATTCAAATTGCAGCTATTAGTACCGAATTACAATTTAATATATACATTTTACCAACCTATGAAATTTCAGAGCAAGTATCAAGTATCAATGAATTCACAATTCAATGAAGGAAACTTCATCAAGGATCTAAAGTTTAAAAGACAGTTCCATTTGATGTTGCTGTAAAAAAATTCTTGGAATTCCTTTGGAAAGTTGGTCATACGATAGTTCTATTTAGTTATAATATTCTGTCATTCAATTTACCAAGAATTATACAATTAGCTGAAAAAGCTTATATGTTTCAAGAGTTTCAGTCTCTCATTAGTGGCTTTTCTGATACTCTTAAACGTCTAAAACAAAAATTGTGTGATCGACGGAAAGAAAAAAAAAGCTTTTCGCAAATGTCACTGGCATCTGATTATTTGCGTAAAAATTTTAACGAAGAAGAAGCTCATGATGCTTTGGCTGATGTGACTGTTTTACAGCAACTTTTAAATCACCAGGTGTATTTCGAGAACCGAAAATTATTGATTGGGTTGATTTATTTAGAGCCAAAAGTTCGATAGCGATCGAGCTACGCCGTAGGATGTGGTCAGGAGAGCTGCACATATACAATAGACACTTTTCTTGAGCTTAATTATAATTTTTTTTAAAAAATAAAGTATTTTTTACGTTAACAATGACTTATTAACAATTTACGAGCTTAACTGAACTTTATCACACGCAAACACGTTGTAGCCGGCGTCGGTTGACCTAGCACAATGATAGAGCAACTGTCATTGGCTAGATTGGAGAAGAAGAGCTAGGATTCGCCGAACGCTGGAACAATAGCTAGCATAGGGCGAGCGGATCGGGTGAGCTCGACTGAGCACCAGCTGGGACGAGAGCGAGTCCAACTGACAGGTTGCGATTAACCTCTCGCAACATACTCCCCGTCTACCGTAACGTTCTCGCGGTACTCGTCCACTGGTAGAACAATGAGCTTGGTGATCGGTGTGGTAAGGGTGGTCTTTGAAGTCTTGATTGAGACCACCCGAATGAGTCCACCTCGTCCAGGATAGACATTAATGCTTCGAGCTAAAGGCCATTGAGCTGGAGGGAAGTTATCTTTAATGAGCAGAACCAGAGAGCCGACTGCAATGTCGTGAGCTGCTTTTCTCCACTTAGAGATTGCGAGATATCTTTGTAAGCACTCTTTTGACCACCGCTTCCAAAAGTGCTGGAGCTTTTGCTGGATTAACTCCCATAGAGCAAGTCGTGACTCAGGGAGATGAGTTGGAGCAGCTTCAGGAAGAACTCCTTGAGAAGTTCCATTAAGAAAGTGAGCTGGAGTTAGAGCTCGTACATTGTCGGGATCATAAGTAAGCGGCGAGAGCGGTCGAGAATTTAACACCGCCTCTAATTGAGCTAGTCGAATGGCAAAGTCGTCATAGGTCAGTAAGGTTGTTTTTAAAATCCTTACTAGGTGAGTCTTCACCGACTTTACAGCGGCTTCCCACTTTCCACCAAAGTGAGGAGCACTGGGAGGTGAGTAGATCCATCTTGTCCCTACTTGAGCTAATAAGCTGACAAGCTGAGCGTTTTCTGATGAGCTTCGACGAAAGAGATCCTTGAGAAAGAAATCAGCTCTCTTGAAGTTGGTTCCACAGTCGCTATAGAGCACTGAGCTTGCCCTTCGACGACTGACAAAGCGTCGGTAGGCTTTTATGAAGGCTTCTGTGGAGTAGTCTGACACCAGCTCCAAGTGAACAGCTGAGGTTATGAAGCAGACAAAAGCAGCTATCCAGCCTTCATATGTTTCTGCGCCTCTTCCCTGGAACGTCTTGAGCGTGAAGAGACCAGCATAGTCTACTCCAATAGTGTGAAATGGTCGAACCGGTACTACACGATCAGCTGGGAGCTGGCCCATGAGCTGTTAAGCACGTCGAACACGATATCGAGCACAGATCACGCATCGCAGGATAAATGAGCAAATAGGAGCTCTTCCTCCTAGGATCCAAAACTTTTCTCGAACATGAATGAGAGTAACTTGAGTTCCTCCATGGAGCGTTCGTCGATGAGCTTGATCAATAACGAGCTGTGAAAAGTAGGATTCTCCTGGGAGTATAATCGGATGGATTCCATCTTCTTCGAGCTCAGAGTTTGTTAGGCGACCACCAACACGAAGTATACTTCTTGATCAGCGAAAGCTGCGAGCTTAGAGACAAAATGCGATGATGGTAATTGAAGACCATCTCGCAGAGCTTTTGATTCAAATGGAAAGTGAAGTCTTTGGATGATCTTCACCCGGATGAGCTGAGCATCAAGCTGTTTTTGTGGAGCTATAGGATTGTGAGCTAACGAGCTGGTGGTTTTTCCTCTGAGCAAGGCGACGAAGCGTAGACAAAGAGCAGTAATCCGTGAGAGCTTGTGATAGAAGGAACCACAATGGATGATTTTCTTCAGATGGAGCTTTAGCTGCGTGCAATAAGACGCCTGATCTTTTTTCTTTGTGAGCAAAAGCTGAAGGTTTAAACTATTAAGCTGGCCAAGAAGAAAATGAGCCTATGAGCTACTCAGGTCCTCTCCACCAGAGCTTGAAGTCAGTTTATTGGTTTCGAGTAAGGCCACGAGAGGCACAATCCGCTGGATTTTGTTTTCCAGGGACGTAGAGCCGTTTAGCGATTGGATTAAGCTCTTAGATAGATAAAACTCTGTTGCGCACAAATTCTATCCACTTGGATGGATAATTGAGAATCCAGGTTAGTGCTACAGATAAATCAGTCCATAGATAGATAGGAGCTTGAGCTAATTCGAGCACTTATTGAACATGTTTCACGAGCTTTAAGAGCATCCAAGCAGCAGTTAGTTCGGGCCTAGAAATAGTGACTGGTTTTAATGGTGCTACCTTAATTCTAGCACACAAGAGCTGGATCTGAGCTGATTTGTTTGAGTTTTGAACTTTGAGATAAATGCATGCAGCCATGGCTAACTGCGATGCATCTGAGAAGCCATGTATTTCTATGTGTGGGCTGGAGATTGTGTGGAGCCATCTAGGCGGTGTTGGAGCTAGGCGTTCTCTCCCATTCTCTCCTGACGAACGAAAGATAAACCTTCTTCTTCTTGTACGAGGAGCTAAGATAGAGAAAAGTTTTTTAAAATCATCATACAGCTTTGTGATGACAAAGGTTCAACGCATGCGCGCCCATGTTTATACAAGTGCGTCGTAAAAGCGGTCATACTTTACCATTACTTTTTAATATTACTAATATTACTATTATTATTAGAAAATTACAGTTGGAACATAAAGGGAAATTCGTAAATAATGTGAACGAAATTTATTGTTAGCAAAATAATTCTTATATTTAAATTAAATAAAAATTAGAGATCAAGTTAGTAAAATTTACCGTGCCAGCACAGTAATTTTTCTACCGCTGACCGATAGATTGTCTAAGAGTGACATCTTACGTCCAGTTTACCGTGCCGCACAATAATTGTTCTTGAAGTTTTAAATATTCTCTATTGGAATTTTTACTCCGTGTATAAATACGCTCTTCATTTTTTTAAGTAATTAATGTCTAGGTGACACTATGATTGTCCAAATTGATTTCTAAAAGATAACAATGAATCAATGCAAATATAACTATTGATCAACCTTTTATTGTAAAGATTTATAATATTATATTCGCAGAGCCTATTGTAAAAAAAGCTGAAAAAGAAGCACTTTATTCATTACGTTTAGTGATAATTTATAAAGTTGAAAATATTCAGATTTTATTAATTTTTTTCCGGAAAAAAATAAAATGGATCTATACAGATCTATATTCTCGCAATTTTTTAGATCTAATTTGATCTACTTATATCTGAAAAACTGAAGAAAATTTGATCTAAGTAAATCTATGTATATCTAGTGAGATCACTGTGTATCTGCACAAATTACTGCATATCTATGGAGATCTCCATTGATCTCGGTGATAAGAAAAATTTAATACATCTACAGAGATCATAGAAGATCTAGAGTGATCGAAACAAATGTACACAAAACAAAGTAGATCTAATTCTGCCAAAAAACAGATCTCAGTAGACCAATGCAGATCTATTTTATTTTTCCCGGATCGTTATAATAATATTTTTTACCTCAAGAACAAAATGAAGCATAATTCTGTATAATGTACACAGGTGGGGATTGCATCTGGCCCAGGGGTAGCCCAGTTCTTTGTGCCCCTTAGAGCATTCCTGATCTCATCCATGCTGACTCGTTGAAACTCCTCAGGAATTCGTGATAGATGTTCGTCACAGAATTCTCTGAAAAGTTGAAGGGCTGGAGTGTCTACATCTAGCGCACTAGCGCGACTATATATTTCGGTCCAGTATGTTTCGACTCTTTCTGCACTCGGGGGCTCATAAGTGACAGGGGCTTGCGGCTTAAGAAAGCGCGAAGGGTCAGATTGGAACAATCTGTTGTCCCTTCGTCGCTTGTACCGCTTTGCTAATGACTTTTTTATGGCCATTAGCGATCTTATTTTGCCTGTGTACCTCTCCTTTAGGATCAGTAACACGGCCGTATTCAAAGTGTGATGTTCACGTCTGATACTCGCCACGATACGCCGAATTCTTAAAGTGGTTTTTTCATTGTTTAAAATGGATTCGATGCTAGGGTATGCAATTTTTTGAGTACTTAATCGTGATTATATTTAAAGAAAAATTTCTTTTTTTTAATAAGTAAAGAATTCTTCCATATTTTATAATCATATAATCGTAATTGTTCCTAAGATCAAGATTAAAAATGTTGTAATATTTCAATTTCCAACATTTCTAAATAACTCTTTATACACATAATTCTTAATTAAATTATCTCTTCTCTGATTATCTGAGTAAATCTTTATCGAATCTATAGACCTTACCCGTGACATAGCAACGTATAATTGTCCATGGTTAAATACATCTTTACGTAAATCTATAGCAATTTTGTCAAATGTCTGACCCTGAGCTTTATTTATTGTCATCGCAAATGCTAATCTAATCGCATATTGCCTACGTTTAACGATGAATACTTCTGAATATTCGTAATACAGTGTAATACGATTGAAAAATATATTTTCAATTCTGTCACCCGTTAAAATTTTACACTTTAGTACATTATTTCCCAGATCTATAATCAACAATCGAGTACCATTACATAAGCCTTCATTAATACTTGAGTTTCTAACGAGCATTACAACCGTATTTAATCTTAATCGAAATTCATGAGGTGGAAAATTAGGTGGATTCAGACTATTTACATATTCTGGCACAATAGCATCATTTATATCACTATTATCACATTGATCAATAGAATCAATACTTTTATATATTTTTGCTGTGGTTGCATCAAGTAAATTAACAACATCATTATTTATTTCATCCACATCAGTATTGCGAGGAGCAAGTATAGCTAATTTTGTAAAATCATCAAAAGTTTCATTTCTTATTGTTGGACCATACAAATTGTCAACAATATTGCAATGTTCATCAGCTATACAATCGTCTGGAACAGTTAAATAATCATTACTATCATTAAGCGTTCCATTAGCTACTGATAATAAAAGTTAAGATAATTCAACTTCATTTGCTAATGCTCGCATATTTGTTGTTAGATGAAATTTTTTGAAATATTGCTATAATGAACTAAATTTTATGGATAAGTTAACTACTTCACTTCGAGGTGCATTTGTCGATACTGGAAGTAGTTGTCTGAAATCACCCCCAAGAGCCAAGATTTTTCCACCAAAAAGTTGAGTATTATTCATTATATCACGCAATGTTCGATCTACTAATTCTAATGCATATCTCGGAGCCATTGGAGCTTCATCCCAAATAAAAAGATCACATTTTTTTAAATATTCGTATTGTTTTGATCGAGGTTTAATATTTGATGTTGCATCACTAAATAAAGGTACTGGCATACCAAACGTTCTATGTACAGTTTTACCATGTGGAAGTAATGTTGCGGCTATCCCTGTAAATGCCATTGTACAAATATTTTTTCCCTTACTATTCAATAAATGATATAAAGTTATATAAGTATATGTTTTACCTGAACCTCCAGGTCCATCAACAAAAAAGCATCTTGATATATTATTCTCTCCATTAACATTATCAATTGAATACGTTACATGATCAACAAAATCTTTTTGTTTTTTATTTAATTGATTATATTGATATTGACCAATTCTATTATGTTCTTGTGGAGAAATATCATCGAAATCAGAATTTTCAATGTCTGTAATCTGTTCCATAGATGAAAATTCGTTAAGACTCGAACCTTCTATTATTAATAAGGTGTTAATTTGTATGTACGCTTTTTTATAAGCTACATTTGCTCCAAATTGTCTAAGAAAATCTTCTGACGTCGCGTTTTTGAATGTTTCCCATAATTGTTCTGGATGAAGTGGTTGACAATGTATTAAAATACGTACGAATAGTCTACGTAATTGATGTGGCATCATCCACGATTCTGCTTCTGTCATAACCTTTTTCCATTCATCATCGTCTTCAATAAGTCCCAATACTAAGCATGTATCAACAAAGGTATTATAAGTAACTCCATTTACAGTTTTTGAATCATCAAAGCTTGTTGCTCCTTTTATATTTAATAACAACAATCGTAAATGAAATAATTCTGTATTTTTGGATTTATAGAATACATACGCCCAATAACATTAAATTGAGTTTGTCGCTTATGCCATTGGGATTGTTCTGAACCATTTGTTTTTTTAAAGACATAATGGCAAGTAATTTCGGAATATATATAATTATGAGCTTCTGAATCTCGTGAGTTCAAGGCAAAAAATTCGAGAAGCATACTTGCTTTGTCTAAAGCACTTATAATACTTTCATCATTTTCTGTTGAGTGAACTACAATAGATTGTTGATTAGGTAAATGTATAGGTAATCGTGTGACAGTATGACTTTTATTTTGCAATTCTTTGTTAAAAATTCGCCAACATGCTTCTACAGGTCCTACATAGCGTCCTTCTAAATAATCTTTAATTTCATCATGGTTGATAATGTTTTCAGAATTTGAAATATTGAAAGCAGCTGCATCATGACCCTTATAAATATATTTATATGAATATTTAACTGCTCTAATACTGGATACAATTCCAATATTTATATGACAATTGAATAACAGTAACAATCTTTGATTATGAGGTACAACAAGACTGTTATTAACTGAAAAATCGTAAGATTTTAATCTTTTGATGTATTGTATATTTGTATTTTTTCGTCCATAATGCGGATAGCCATTCTCATCCATTGCTGTTTTTTCGACAAATGATTTCGGATATTTTTTCGAACACTTACTATTGACCAGGCACCAATCACCACAAGGACCGTGTATCATATTATTCATAACAATATTATGCAACTTAGGATTTATAGTTGGATCAGGGATTTCTGCTGAAATATATTTGTCTACTAATACAGACGTATTTATTTTACAATATTTTTTTAATGTAATTAACATATGCATATATGGTAAACCGCGTTTTTGGAATTCAATTACATCCAAATAAGCTTCAACATCACCGAAAAATTTCTTATTAACAAATAAGTGTATGAATTCTTTTTTTTTCAAATAAAATATTCGAGCTACAAGATCAGGTCTATCAGCTACCGTTTGTCCAGGTAGTAGATTTTCTTCAATCTCAAGCCATTTTGGATTGCAAGTCATGGTAAGAAAAATATCAGGTTTTCCATATTTTCTAACAATAGCCATAGAATCTTGATATAACTGTAACATACTTCGTGGTGAATTAATAAAGGATGATGGAAGTATTATCATTTTTCCGATTTGACTATTAGTATCATTACTTTTTTTATGTGAATAATCAATCAACCCTTGATATGTCTCAACACGCAACTGTTTTTGATTATTTTTACAATAACGTATTCTATCCTTTTCTATTTTAACATAGCTGTCAACGACCCATTGTTGAAATAATCTCCGACCTAATAAAAATTTATTAAAATCATTACGTATAGCTAATCGATACTTAATATAAGCATTGCGAGTGATACTTTTATTTTTATTAACACATGATATATCTTTGTGCCAACCTTTTGTACCATGCGGATAAAATAATGAGTATACTAAAGGTTCTACATTGGGATCCATTGTATTAATGTTCATTTTGTGTTTGTATTTTTTATAGTTACGTATGATTCAGGAATATCTCCATCAGCTGTTCTTGAAAAAACAGCAGCAACTTTATTTATTTGTTCAATTCTAACGATTACGATCCATTCCAGGTTTCAAAGTAAATAACAACTGTAATTCAGGTTCAACATCATTGTTTTTTATTTTCTCTTCTTCTAATACATCTTTCATCATTTGATAAGAACAAGCGATGATGTTAAATTGTCGTAACTCAGTTTCAATATCATTTACTATTTCTAAATCTAATTTATCATTTTGTTCACAACGCAAAAGCGATGCTTCATTAGCATCAATAATAAATAATTGTCCGTTCGTTGGTAATTCACCTGTTGTAGGATATAATACTGTATTATATTGATGATAAATTTGCCCTTGTATTTTAAAACAAAAAGGTCCTGGACGATTTTCATCAAATCGAATTAAATCTGCATTCAATGAAGCAAATGAAAACGAACTATTATAGTATCGTATTCGACTATAAAATTGATTAGATTTCAAGTGAGTACCATCATAGAGCTTTTGCAAAATTGGTGGTAAAGCTAGTAATTCATCAAGAATAGCTTCACCATGATTACAACAATCATTAAAAGAAAATTTTTTATTAGCAACTTGTATAGATGAAAAATGTCGTGCTTTACAGTATTTACATAGTATATTCATTGGACCTATGTAATGTTCCTTTATAGAACTCTCATCAATAAATGAATCTACTGATCTATTATTAATTGTTTCATTGCTAGAATTGTAATTTTGATTTATTGGGTTTGAATTGTTATTTTGATTTTGTTGATCATCATTTGATTCAGAAATTTCATCAGATTGGCATGGTAAGTTCATTAACTCTGGATAACTAATTCCATTGATAGTGCCATTAGATGTTGATGGTAAATCACTTATTTCCGAATTATTTAATGTTAATGCTTGAGGGACGTTTAAATTTAATGTTGTACTACTACATAGAGAAGCATCAGTATTATGTCAATGGCATAATATTGTTTAGCTACTTTTTTCTTATTCCGGTATTCTTTTTGATATTTATTACGCTTTGCACGTTGATTGTTTTGATATTCTTCTTCTTCAGCAGGTGAATGAATTATTTTTTTTCGTGGCATTTTTATAATAAAATAAGAAAAATTACGTGTTGTACAAATAATCAAAGTATTAATTATATTGAAAACCACAACAACTTATCAGGTTTTAAAGAGGGATTTGAATCAAGACTCTGAAATATACTTTTTTTAATAAATGGTAAAAAGAGAATTAAAGTCAAATAAATATTGCTAAAACATATTATGGAAATCTTTATTTAATTATATGATAAAAAATTATTGTACAAATGGTATGATACAATGTCAAAAATTATTGGCACAAATAATTAAACTGTAATATTTTTAATGATAATTATTTTGAACAATGTATTAACTGAGAGTATTGCTCAGTAAAGTTTGATTTTTTTCACAAGAATGACTTTTGTTCTTATTTTCCTTTTTTCTTTATTTTATTGTTATTTTGTTCTTAATTCGTAAATAATGTTATGATTATGACTGTTAAAAAAATGCTGATAAAATAAATTTATTATAAAATAATTCAAATTGATTTTTGATACTTTCTTATGTTCTTTTTAATTTAATCAGGCCGCGATTAAATTAAATTCTTATTTTCTTAAATTCTTAATTTCGCTATTGCTTATTTTCGCAATTCTCAATATCGGTATGATACAAGTATTCCGTAGTATTATACCTGGAAATATATTATAACAGTATATACCTGCAACAAAAATTAACAAATTTATTACATTAGTATCAATAAATATGTGATATAAATTGTCTTAATTATTTGATTTTATTTATAATTCCAATAGTCAATAATTACATCATCAACTGTTATTAATATACATAACAACAATTATAAATAAACATAAATCGATGGAAAATTTATAATGTAAATTTGTAAACAAAGGTATATAACTGATAGCATAACCCTTGATTTAGCAGTAAAAAATGAATATTGTAATCTTGTAATAAAAATATCATTTTGTTTAAATACAAATTCATAAAAAACATGTTATGTGTAGGGGGATGACTTGATGGTGGAAATTCCAATAAAAGAAGTTTATTTATTCAAGAAAATTGATACTCCAATACAATGTAACGCTCTAGAATATTTAAAATGCATTATTTTTATAAGAAATACTAAAGAAAATGTTTATTTGTTTTGTAATGAGTTAAGAAATCCCAAGTATGGATCATATTATATCTATTGAAGCAACATGATTGCCAAAACTGACATTAAATTATTAGCTGATAGCGATGAGGAAGAAGTGATCAAAGAAATTCATGAATATTATGCGGATTATTTGGTTGTAAATCCACATTCATTTTTCAAAGAATTAATAAAAGAAGTGCTTAATGTCAACATTAAGTTTAGATATGACGAATTTTATGCTCAAAATTCATGTCTTAATTTTGGTAAAATCAGACAGACAATCAAAGAATTGATAGGAGAGTTTCAGAAGAAATCTAAAAAACACCAGAAAGTCGAGAATATTACTGGTATAAGAAATTTTATTGAAGCTTATTTGTTGTTTAAAAATGTCTAGAGCTGATTCTAAACATGTCACTGTTAATTGTAAATTATCTAATTTAGTGGGAACTTAATTTATTAAAATTATCAGTAACAGAACAAGAATTGTGCTAAATAATTAATTAATGGTTTTTGTTATGATTATTAATTAATTTATTTATTGATGTTTATTTTTTTTTGTTTAACGTTTTAAATTTTAATTATGTATTTCACTGTATTTTTCTTTGTTATGTCCGACTTTATGGTTACAATTTTTCTTTTCTTTTTTTTTCCTCTCTCATATATATATATTTGGCTTTATTTTTAGTAAACCAAAAATAAACGCATACTTAATTTACCGATACGCTGACAAAATAATTTTTGTATTTGACGGAAATTGAGTCTCACGCTTCCTCATGAGAGAATTCATTTCCCATGCAGAAACCCGAAGCCCTTGCTTAATGGAAAAATTCGTTTTGTTTAAATTTTAGGTTCTCAAGCTGACTAAGCTGAGAAACAGGTCTTTATTTTTGCTACCTTACAAATAGAGGCTATATTTAAATAAAAGGAATTTCATTGTAAGTACTTTTTAAATAAAACGCTGAAATCGGAAGCGCTTACGATGCTTTATCGTTCCGGTCTTCTTGGAAACCCTCGGCGACTTAGACCAAGTACCGAGTCTACCTGTAGACTAAACAATTTTTATCGAGGCTTTTTGTCACTGACCAGAGATTAGTCAAGACAGCCCGCGTACTTAGCGTCGCGAGAATTTTATGACGTCAGTTAGCTCAACGACGTCGAACGAGCAGTTAATTTCAAATCGAAGTTTAGTTTGTGGCTAAATATATAGATATATTACGAAAACAACTGTCATTAAAGTGAAATAATTTGGGTGTAATCCGAACGTAAATAAATATCAAAAAGAAACAGAACCCGTGGTACAGTTCATTGATAGTGCCTCTCTGGACAACATCCCGACAACCTGCAGGTTCAAACCTTTCATCATCAGTCGTAGCTGTGTAGGATATCTATCTACAAAAAGGTAAGGTGCACAATTTTCCCGCTATTCGAGGAAAAGTCACTCAGCAAGAAAGGGTCAGAAGGATAGAGTCCTGAACGATCCCTAAATTAGAAATAAAAATTAAAAGATAGAGGAATTCTGTCCTCTATCTGAGTTTAACTTACGTCCGCGCCTCCTGGGCCAAGTTCATACCGAGCGCTTCCAACGTATCTCATAAATTTTAAATACTGCAGTAGGAAAAATTTCAATCCTAATTTTTCGCGCCTTTTTATTTAGTTAAACATTCATAAAAAGTCGGACGTAACCCCTTTTTGATTATGTACTTGTCACAATTTTGTAACGTTTCATTATCTTTTACATCTAAAGATATTTATTTGAGATTTATCAATATATAAAAGTAAAGAATAAATTTAATACTTACTTTATAAAACAAATTAAAATATGATCAATTTTAATCTTGCAATATGTTAATTAGATAAGGTCACTCCTATAATTTTTTCCATAAATTAATGGCACAAACTTTTTAGAAGATTATGGTCATGTATCGAATTTCATCGATATACATTTATTATCTATGTGATTATCGACTTCGATTGATTAAAAACTTGACAAAGTTTGAAACGTTCAATAAACTTATACAACAAATTAAAAAAAAAAAAATTTTTTTCTAAATTGATAAAAAAAATAAATTATGAAATGTTCCTTTATTTAAATACTTTATTTATGAAATTTTTACGTTAACTATAATTTGTTGAACAATTACATTTAAATAGAATTTAATAATAAAATTATTATAGTATCTGTTGGATTCTCTGAACAAAAATGAATCTCAATTCATTCTTTATTTATTTAACAACTTAGTTTTAAGTTTAGGAAATATAAACATATATTTATAAAATATATAAATATATTTTTAATACACATCTGTAAGGACTCCAAACTATTCCTCTTCATTTTATTACTCTTTTTATTATATAACCTTAAGTACTTGGGTCAGTCAAAGGACCCTTTGATTTCATTTAATATTATGCTACATACTGCAGACATCTGTAAATATGAACAAAGAAGAGAGGATTGGTTGTTTTTACTGTAGAGTAATGTTTGAGAACATTTTTAGTTAGTCTTAGAAAAGTATCTGAAGAATACAAATGAACTTCTCAGCACAATCCGCTATCGTTTAATAAAGAATCCATAAGTATTTTAAACTACAAAATAAATTCAGTCTATATTGAATTAATATTCCCTGATCATAATCCTGAATTTCCAACAGGTTATGGGCCCAGTTAACGCTGAGCAATTAAAGTTGTAAAAAGTTAAAATTATAGAACGATATTTTATATCAAATTATTAAAATAAATTAGACCATCTAAAAAGC